TTTAAATTGAATTATTTTCCAATCGGTTTAAGTCTATTAGTTTAATTTTATTTTGAAGAAAAAGGAAACAAATAAATCATTTCAATTATTTGATACGAATTTTCGTAAATGTTCATTCACATAATTCAATACAAAATAAGGTATGTTAAGACAATTAAGACATTTAAATTGAATTATTATCCTAATTTATAGCCTATTGGTTTAATTTTATTTAGAAAAGAAAAAAAACAAACAAATCATTTTAATGATCTAAATTACGAATTTTATCCTGTTTCTTATTTTTTCTTTTTTTTAGAAACGATGCAGAAATGATTAAGAAAAAGATCATAGTTAAGAATGAACTCGTTTGACCTTTTCCTCTTTCTCTTTCTCTTCCTTTTCTTTTCTTTTCTTCGTGACACCATCATCTGTCTATGTAGTGTCCGTCTCAACGTAACCGATAACGTTGAGCTTGCTTATCCAGCATGGATATCAGCAAGTGAAACGGGTCACGTCAAAAGCGTGTACAGAACCCGATGACAAAGACTACGTCACTTTTCTTAACCGGATGTTGCACTTCTCACGCGGATTGGTAAGAAAGAAATGCAGATAGCACGAAGTAGTAGTAGTCAACAGGAATAAAAGAGGCGTTTGCCTTGTTCAAAGTCCTCTTTCCTTTTCTCTCTCTCTCTCTCTTTCTCTCTCTCTGTTTGAACTTTAATGATTTCTTAAGAAGAGGGAAATGGTTTAAGTACACGATCCTACGATTTTGTGGTTCATCAGATTAAACTAGTTCTGTCAATATTACATTTGCTTTTTTTTTGTTCCTTTCTTTCTTTTCTTTCTCTTCTTTTTCCTTTTTTTTTTTATTAAATAATTAGAAAGAGATCGATATAAACGAGGTTTAACCTTTGACCGACGATGACGTTAGTTCCATTGCGAATATTTTACTTGAAATATCTTATTTTTTTTTCTAATAATTTTTAAAAATAGATATTCCCTTGTTTCTTTTTTTTTTTCTTTTTAATTTAGTTAAAGGACACCAAAGTTCGTCATTTAATAATTATCATTTAATTGGATTACATGTATTTCGTGTCACGTGTATTAAACTGGTTATATGTGTATTTGAAATGTATCAAATTATTAAAACGATTTGAACGAAAAGTTTGACAAAAAAAAGTAATTCGACACGAATTAGCAAAGTGTTCAATTTACTGTTTATATAAAATTAATATTAATTATTATTAATACGTTATATTTAAATATATATATACGATATTATTATAGAAATAAATTATATAACATGTAATTTTGAAATCAAGATCCTTTATATGTGTATTTGAAATGCATCAAATTATTAAAACGAAGTGTTAATTTATTTTTTATATAAAATTAATATTAATTATTTATTAATACGTTATATATATATATATATGATATTATTATAGAAATAAATTAGATAACATGTAATTTTAAAATCAAGATCCTAGGGACCCTACACGTCATCTTTCTCACTAGGTACATTATTAAAGGTTGAAAAAAAAGAACTATGAAGTGAGGGTTTGTTAAAAAGAGAACAAAAAAAAAATATAGAGGAAAAGACAGAGACAGAAACGTGGTAGAAACGTTTCAAAAATATTACTTATATATCTACACATTGCAGGTGCTCAAGTTTAATGCGGAATCTTGGAAGACGAAAAACGGGAAGTGCTCTAAGGGGAACGTGACAGAACCTAGGTAAGTTTCTTGAGAAATACGCACGACGTGAGATTTCTGCACGCTTACTCGGAAAACCTCTCTCTCTCTCTCTCTCTCTTTTTCTCGACCTGTGACCGCAATGATTTTTATCCAAATAAAAATGAGGAGAATCAGGAGAACGGAAAGTATCAGGAATGAAAGAAAAAAAAAAGAGAGAGAGAGGAAAAAAAGTAATTCGAGTGTATTCGTAAAAGTCGAAGAGTTACAATGTAAAATCAAGATATTCTTTCTCTCTCTCTCTCTCTCTCTTTTTATCCATTTATCTTTCTTTTTCAAATGGAAAAAGAGGGAGGGAAGGGGTGGAATCTCGATCTTTTGCCTTTAAATTCTTACTATGGGTATTCATAATTTATGACTTTAGAAAAGCACGCTACAGAATGAAAGTTGCTCGTTTAAAAGATAGCAAAAGAAATAGAAAAATAGATAGAGAGAGAGAGAGAGATTTCTTTGTGAGTATTCTATGACATATTTTATCTCTTTTAGCGAGATGCTTTTAAGAATAAAAAAAAAAAAGATAAATATAAATAATATTACAACACTATAAAATATGGTAAGAAAAAGAAAGAAAAGAAAATGAAAATATAATAATAATAATAATAATAATCAATTAGTTATTTCTTTCATGTCCAAAAATAAAATTATTAATAAATAAGTATCATAGAGAAATTGGACATTAAAAAGAACTCGAACTTAATTTTGATTAATTGGACATTTCGTTTTTTATTAGGACAAAATTTATTTTGTTTCAGTGTTCAAATATAACGGATTAAGAGATAACGAAGTTAAGATGTTTAATTTTTCGAATATTACAAGAATGTATGTCTGTTCAAATGAAAAAAAAACGCTGAATTTTAGAGATTAAGTTGCTGAAGAAGTCCCCCAATAAAGGGACGAAACATCTAATTAATCAAAACTATAAATTCAAGTTCTTTTTAATGTCCAATTTTCTTACGATACTCATTTATTATTAATAATAATAATAATAATAATGAAATATAATTTAGATTTTTAGATAAGTTACCTTAGAATGACGGTTTTGACGAATGACTGTTTGAGATCATCTGACAATTTGACCGGATGCAGGAAAGCCGGAACGTGTAGCCTTGATCTTGGATACAACGGGCCATGTGGTACAAGTAACGTCAGAGAATCATCGGTCTTGAGTTCTTTGTAGGCCGCACGATTGGGCGCAAGGGGTACTTGGCCTAATGGCGTCACCGGTTGAATTTGTACTCGAGGCCGACAGAAAGCTGCCGCCCCATTGTCTGAATTACCTGAGGCAACCTCCTCGGTACGAGGTTCCAATACGGAATAAGCTACCTGTACGAGTCTTGGTAAAGTCTTGGCGACCTTGACGCGCCCGGAAGAATCCGGAGGCGGTAATGGTGCCCACCAGTTTGCAGGTATTGTTATTTGGGCCAAACAAACTCCGTTTTCACCGTCCGGACTGCATGCTGCCGTTAAAACGGAATTACTTGAACTGGATGACGATGAAGAAGAAGAAGAAGAAGATGATGAAGATGACGGTGACGATGAAGATGACGATGAAGAACCCGAGGAGCTTGAATAATCTCTTCTTCCATTATTATTAACGTTCCTTAATGGTGTTGCCAAACTAGCGTGCAGGACAACGCATACTCTTTGATGACGTGCCAAAAGTAATTGTCTTCTACCACCGGCCTCGCTTCCAGCGTGGAACAAAACCCTGAGGACCGGTGCATCCCTGGGCACGCTATTACCAACCAAATGCGCTGACATGTCCAAATGTCTCGCACCCAATTCCTGTGCATCCATTATCGTTGCCGCTGTCAAATTGCGCCTTGTCTCCGGTCCTGGTAATGCATCCAATGGATCGGGTACGATATAACGGGCTGGTACGGTCTGTTTCGTGCTAAAGGGACCGTAACTAGCTCGTACTGAAACTGGCTCGCTTGTTTGAAAGACGGTGAACTTGTCTATTGATAAGACTGAACCTGGTGGCGATGATGATACGGTACCGGCGTTGTTCGACGATCCTGATACGCTTCCACCTGTACCCGTTGACGATGCAGCTATCGCTGGTATCGTATCCGTTCGTGATGGGTAATAAGGTCTTGGTGTATGCTTCAAAAAGAATCCTCCATCTTTGTTCTCGAAATGGACCTCCACCGATGCCGCTACATCTGCAACGACAAAATACCATACACACTTTCATTAAATTTTCACAATTTTTCTGAATTTTCTTTTGATTTTTTTTTGTTGAAAACATAAAATCCATTATCTTTCTTTTATTTTTTATTTTCATTAACAAATTCGTATAGTTATTTTACTCATAATATAATTATTATTGTTTTCTCGTCTACTTTTCATCTTATCAAAGATTTATCGTTTTAATCAAAATCTTTGAAACGTTTTCGTTACGATTAGATGGCTTGGATGAATGAATGAAGAAGAAGCAACAAAAATGAGAATGTAAAAAAGTAGAAGTATGATTAATCTAGGCATGTGGCCTAAAGCTTATACGGTAAGCTTATACCGGTAAGGGTTAAATTTGCATTCCGAGAAGAAGGATGTACGGGATCAAGGGGTTATACAACGAGACGGTGTGTTCTTGTAAACCAAGCGCATCAGAAATTTCGTTACGGTTCGGCAGACGCTTAGAAATGCTTTTCCGCTTTCGTGAATATTGATTCTGAGAACATGAACAGAGAGAAATAGATAGAAATATAGATAGATAGATAGATAGATATCTAAAACTTTATCTTTGGAAAAAGTATCATTTATTCCATGTAATCATTTTTCAAAATTAACAAATCGTTTTGTTAAAATAATACGTTACAATTAATTCATATTAAATAATATGAATAATACGAATATTCAATAATTTAGATATTAAATTAAATTGATATCAAAATCACATCATCATCATTATCTTTTGTTTCGTTTTATAAAATTCTTCATCAGTTATCTGAAAGATGGATCAAAAATAATCGAAAATAATAGGACAGGAGGGGGAAGAGGAAAAATACTATTTCAAAGAATACAAAATTCTTAGGATTATATTATAAATAAATAAAATATTAAATTAGTTTGTGAATGGGGTATCGCGAATTAATATTGCTACACTTCGATATAAATTATATATTATTTGAAAATTAATTTCACATGGAATTCACATTAGTTCCCGTTCAAAAAGAGTTTTATAATTATAATCATAGTTATTTTTTTTAATTTAAATATAAAACGTTTCGTAATCGAGTAAAACAAAAAAAGGTTTTTGAATTTGATTATCATAGTTTTGGTCTCGTAAAAAATGTTTTTTCATTTTCAGGAGTTAGCAATGAAGGTATAAAGTTGGGTCTCGTGGTAAGCTTCCCCTCTCTCTCTCTCTCATTGGAAAACTGGAAGCTGAAGGAGATATTGGATTCGAAACTTAAACTTCATCGTGCTATACCAGTTTACTCGATTAATCTTAAGACACGTGTGTTTGAAACATAGATATAGTTGCCATCACTAATACTATTACTATTACTAACTACTACTAATATGGGTTTATGAAAAGAAATACGCATCTATTCATAGTACGTTTTGGAATGGGCCGTGGGGGGGGGGGGGGGGGGGCGGGGAACCTACTTTCTGGCTTATAACTTACGATCGAACCAAGAATAAGATTGCGTTGTTCGATGAAACTCATCGATCTGAAACGATGGGTGTAATACTTTATTATAAGAAGTGAAATGAAAAGTGGAACGTATCGATACGTTCGATACGTTTCCATTTTTTATTAAAACAACTACGATATATTACGTTAAGTAACAACGCGTGTATTTATGTATGTATGTAGGTAGATAGATAGATAGGTTGGTTGGTTGGTAGGTGAGAATGGGTTGGTTTAATATTTTTTATTCCGTCCGTTTATATTATAGTTGAGATAAAATATATAATATTGATTTACGTTCAATAATAAAATACTTAAATTGTTATTAAAAAGAAAAAGTAATATATATTATAACGACGGATATATTATTATTTTATATTTAATAAATCATAAACGTTTTTCTATTTAAAAAGAACATTTCGAAATATGATTTGTGTCCATTCGTATTACACGTTTCTCAACTTATTGTGAACAATCTTTATTTTGACAATAAAAATGTAATCAAATTTCATCGATATTTAATGTTAAGTGTGATGATAAATGTTTTAATCATGGTTTAATAAGAAATATAATAACTATTAGAAAATGTTGTCGATGTATCGGTTTAGGATTAGAAACAATAGTTAAGTGAGTGGGAGGGGATCGGGGTCGGGGGGGGGGGGGTGATGTAATTCTCGCACGGTCCCGAGAATTCAGCCCTTGAATATAAACGACGTTAGTGGTGTCCTGTTAACGGATCTTATAGGTGCCCCATGGCGCTTAGATCGTGCGACGTTGGCAAACTTGTTGGCGGTTCTGAATAGAGATTACACCATAATAGTGTAGAGTCGAGCAAGCAGCAACCCTTTGGATCAGAGTGTCCACGCAAAGCCCCCTCCTAGCCCTTTTTGACAACCTATTTCTCCGGATTTGCTATCACACCGAGTAGCTAGTGTGTTACGTGCCTAATTCAAACGTATATACGCTAATTATGTGATCGGTAGTTAAAAACAATATCACGAGAGGATACAATTATCTTGTAATTGTTTAAAATTAATTCTATACCCAACGATCAACAACAAAAAATAAACTCAAATTAATATCTCTATATTTTTCAGAAATTGCAATGCCGTAAATTGTATCACTTTGCCAATATTTTGAAAAGTTTCTGTAAATAGTTTTTATACTAAAAGTGAATAGATTTTAATGATTTTTAGATTAAATTAAAGTACACTCTTTTGTCTACGCGTAGAATACTTTGTCGAGTTATAAATCGATCTGCAAAGGTTCATAAAATGTCAGAGAATGCAGTGCTATAATTTGTGCATCTTTGCTATTTCTTTGAAAAGTTTTGCTAATTATTTTTTATTCTAAGAGTGAATAGATTTTAATGATTTTTAGATTAAATTAAAGTACACTCTTTTGTCTACGCGTAGAATACCATATCGAGTTATAAATTAAGCATGTAAAGTTTAGAAAATGTCAGAGAATGCGATGCTGTAAATTGTGCATCTTTGCAATTTCTTTGAAAAGTTTTGCTAAATATTTTTTATACTAAAAGTGAACAGATTTTAATGATTTTTAGATTAAATTAAAGTACACTCTTTTGTCTACGCGTAGAATACCATATCGAGTTATAAATTAAGCATGTAAAGTTCAGAAAATGTCAGAGAATGCGATGCTGTAAATTGTGCATCTTTGCAATTTCTTTGAAAAGTTTTGCTAAATATTTTTTATACTTTTAGCAAATGGATTTTAATGATATTTATATTAAATTAAAGTACACTCTTTTGTCTTATGTGTTATAATCCTATGAAATAATTCAAATGAACATTTTAATATTTTTCTATTATACACATAGATTAATATAAATTATTAAAAATAACATATTCTAACTTTTGATATTTGTAATTTAAACTATAATGAAATATGTATATATATATGTACTTGTTGTTTGTTATAATCCTATGAAATAATTCGAGAAACTTTAGACGAAATCGTTCGAACGATCCACCACTACAACCACCATCACTACCACCCCCCGTAGGGCTTTTGAAATCGTTACGGAACAATATGCTTGATAGCCGCGCACGCCTTTTGTGTTAAAAAGTTTTCCATCCCAAGTAACTTCTTCCTTCCAACCCCCGGAGTCTTTCCTCAACCAAACCCAACCACCCCCACCTCCCCCTCAGGCAGCTTTCTTCCTTTTCTCTTCCATTCCTGTCTCCTATCTCTGTCCTTTTCTTTCTATATCTTTAGTGTTCCTTCCTTCTTCAACAAAACTTTCCCTTATACACCGGATATTCATTTCGCATAACAAAGTTTCCTCCCCTTTCCCTCTTCCCTCCACCCCCTGTAGATAGGACGCTTCTGAAGGGTAGAGACACTTTCTTCTTCTTCTTCTACTTCTACTTCTACTTCTTCTTTTTCTTCTTATATTTCAACCAACGAAAGTAGTAAGTTTATCCCAGACTGGGATTTCTGTTATACAACAAGCTTGCAAATATTTCTCTCTCTTTTTTTTTGTTTTTTTGTTTTTTCTCAACAACGTCCTTGAGTTTTATTATATAATATATATATATATATATATACCGTGGTTAAATCGATTATGATAAAAATTATTTTGTTTTATTCGATAGATATTTAAAAAAAAAAAAAAAAAAAAGGAAAGAAGAAAAGGGTTAAACGTTTAGCCCTATTCGTTGAATTGTGTTCAAAGAGAGTTTAACACTTAGACAGGTAAGAGAAACCCTACGTAGCTACGGTTATAACTTTCATTAATTCCAGACGACGGCATATTTAATTACAACGTGTATGGAACGTGACAAATTTTGTTACGACATCTGCATCCTCGTCGGCGTTGCATTTAATCATCGCCGAAAGCCTCAGCCCGTATTTTAACATTCGTACAAGTGCAATGAATGCCAGTAAAATACATTACAACGTTTAAATATATATATATATATATATATATTTATGGTGGGTGTAAGTACGTAAAAATGAATGCCAGTAAAATACATTACAACGTTTTAATATATATATATATTAATATATATATCCACCATAAATATATATATATTTACACTCACCATATATATATGTATTTATGGTGGGTGTAAGTACGTAAAAATGAAACGAGAATTCTGGAAAATTGAATGACCGATTATTATTGCGAGAAAAACTTGGAAAGACTGTGTGACGTGAGTATTATTAATAAAAAAAAAAAGAACAATAAACAAAAGAAATAGATTTTGCCGATCATTAGCTTGAGTTTTTTTTCTCTGAAGGAAAAATGAACGTTAACGTTGACGTTCGATCGCTATTTATCTTGAAACCTTGAAGCTTCCACCTCCTCCTTCACCTCCTCTTCCTCCTCCTACGCTTTTCCCAAACGATCATTTATTCTCCAAAAGTCGCCACTGGAAACGATCATTCTTCTCGAGCTTAAAAAATCGTCAACGTCAACGTGAAAACACACTTTCAGGCGTGTGCACCGCTTTCCTTGTTAGTTAAACATCAACTTTCTAAAATGTTTAACTTTCTTACCAGTTATAACCGAGATATAATCCCATGCCTATTATTATTATTATTATTATTAAATCGTCAGATTATTTATCATATTATTATTGGTTTAAATCACTGTATGTAATAATTTGTTTTTTTCTAATTTTCATCAAACCTCCCTATCCAATAAAAATGATACCATTTTCATGATCAAAATACAACAAGAAAAATAATGTTCGATTTTTTTGCTATTAAATCATTATTTTCATTCCATTCTAATAGAATTACTTTAAGAAACACACACGTTTTGTCAAAATGAACATTCATATGTATACCAAAATTAGAATAATAATTAAAAAAAAAAAAAGAAAAGAATACGCACACACAAAACATAGAAAAAATAAAACATATCAAAACCGAAATTATATCATCTAATGATATTTTTACAAATGAAACTCGTAAGGATATATAATATAACATTAAAATACATATATATATATATTTGAACTTATTATTATATATATAGAAAAATATATAATATAAAAATTAGTGTACAAGCAGGAGAACAATAAAAAAAGAAATAATACAACAAACATAACATATACCATACTTTGAGATAAACAACGATTTCCTTCCTTCGATATACTGACATTCAACCCCCTAAATAAAGATACTCTTTACGTAATACAACCATACATACATACACCCCCTACCCCACTCTTATCTCATTCTATTCTATTCTTCTTTTAACTTCCTCTCTTTTTTTTCTTATACAATAAGATACTTAAAAAAAAAAAAGAAAAGAAAAGAAATACTATAGTTACATCCGAACGATAAAACCTTTTGGTTAGAGATTGCTATGGAAAACAGTGTCCCCCTTGTAAGAAAAGTTTGTGAAAACCGTACATACATATATATATATATATATCCCTCTCTCTCTTTTTCTTTGCCAGTTGTAGAGTTGAAAGATGCAAAAGGTTTTTGGAAGGGATGAAGAAGTAGGCTGAAGAGGGAAACAGTGGCAAGGGGGTAAGGGGGGTGAGAGTTAGAAGGGTAGAGAAAGAACAGGAGAAATGGAGGGGGGGATGGGGGGGCGGGGGAAATGCAGAAGTGGAAAAGAGAAGAGGACTGTTGTAAATCGGTAAGAGGAATGGCAGGGCATGGCAAGAATCTTACTCACTCTCTCTCTCTCTCTCACTCTCTCTCACTCTCTTTTTCTATTTCTTTCTCTCTTTAGGTGTTAGCTGGAATCGAACATAAATTTTATCGCAAATCCCCGAGTAAGGCGGCAGCTGCCCACGCCGAGCTGGGCTCACGTAAAAATGGTGGAAACGCGAGAAAAGGAAGAAGGAATAGGAGAACAACCTTATAGGAAGGAAACTCACATTGGAAGGGCTCCCCCCTCCCCCTCTTTCTATTCCTAACACCTTGTCCCAGCCCCCCTCCTTCTCCTCGTCCAACCAACTCTTGTCCTATCCCCCTTTTTTTTCTTTTTATTTTTTCTTTCTCTCTCTCGTTTCTTATTCCACCTCTTTTTATTTTTATTCTTATTCTTATTCTTTTTTTCTTTTTTCTTTTCTTTTTATCCTTCGCGCCACTTATTTTACCTTAAACTTCTTTCTTCTTTATTATACTCCTAACACTACTCCCCCCCTGTCCCTGTCCCCCTTCTCTATCTTCTGGTAGTATGCTACCTGTACCTATCTCACCTCTACTATTCCTTCTGGTTTCTTCATTTTCCTTTTTTAACTCTTCTCTCTCTCTCTCTTTCTTTCTTTCTTTTTTTTTGTCTCTTTTTATCTGGGTATTGCATCGATTTGCATAATAACCAGCGCAACGGCAAGATAATTCGCTTCGTACGGGGTAATTGAATAATTTTTAACGATCTTCTTTTTTTTACTATCTTTATATAATATATGTGTGTGTGTGTGTGTGTTGTATAGATTAGGTTAACTAATAAGTAGATATTACGATGGAATTTTTAAATAGTTTACATTTAAATATGTAATATGCATATTTTTATTCTCTTTTTGTTTTTTTTTTTATTGAAGATACTTTAATAGTTCCGTATCGGAATATAAAATATATAGCACTCGATAAGGTTACTACCACCACACCGAGTTTGCTATATCCAAGTATCGCTTTAGATATCTTTTCCTTTTTTTTTGTTTTCTTTAAATCAAATATATATATATATATATATTGAAAAGAGTTTATTGAAAAAAGTTGTTTGAAAAAAATTCCCTAAATTGAGGAGAAGAATTTAAATTTCTATGTAAAATCGGTTTATATTATTTTGTATCAAACGAAATTCGTTTTATTCCTTTTTTTTTTGTTTTCTTCTTCTTCATAAATCGATACGAACAGTCTCTCGCATAATTTTATGAAATCAAAAGAAAAAGGGGGAAAATCGAAAAGTGATTAGGTCACGAGACAATTTAAAAGAGAAAAAGAAAAAGAAATAAAAAGGGGGGTATTTACTAATTCGTATAATTGGATCACCCGGTATATAGGTGCACTTGAACGGGATAATCGTCGTCGTCGCGTGCCCGAGTGAACTCTCAAGCGTTTACTCGAAATTATAACGCGCATCTTGACTGAGTACTTCTTCGGTAGTATAATTTTTCTCCCTTGTAAACACGAAAGAAAAAAAAAAAAAAAAAGAAACGGGGGAAGGGGAGGGGAAAATAAAAAAGAATAATAAAGGAACGAACGAATAAAAAAAAATTGGAATAATAATAAAAGAAAAAAATAGAGAGAGAGAGAGAGAGAGAGAAAGAGAAAAAAAAATGTACAAACGGTGAAAAAGATCAGAGCGACGTAGCGTAAATTATAATGATCTTAAAGGAGCATTACTTTTCACCCTCTTTTTTCTATTTTTTTTTCTTTTCTTTCCCCGGCCCCTTATCCTTTCGTTGGAATCATTTCCGGGGGAAATTAAAAAAAGGAAGAAAAAGATTTCGCGAGATTTTCGATGCATTTTCGAGGGGTACACATTTTTCTTTCTTTACTTTGAATTTCAATTACTTAGGATAATTAATTTTGGATTATTATGAAACCTTTAAGAGTACGATCAAGGATTTTTAAATTATTACAATTTTATTCTTTGATAATTTCAATGCCAACAATCTCGTATATTCATCGAATTTCTTTTCGAGTATGATACTTTAGTGTTATTATCTTATCTGGATATAACTCAAGTAATTTCATCATTTTCTTTTTATTTTGATTAAAAATAATCACACAAAATATGGGCAATAAAAGTACCGATAATTTTTAACGATAATTAATTTATCTTTCTCGTATGTCTCAACTTATTATTCAATTATATATTTGTTATTTTTACATTTTTTTTTTCTATATTTTTTTTTCTTGCATATTTAATACAATATTATATAACAAATTTAAATACACAGAAGTACGTATCACACAGTAAACGTATACTTTTTTAGTTCTGTAAAATAAAGAATAAACGGTCGGATAGGACAAATCGTTAATAGACCATGAATAGTAAACGATTTGACCGCGTAAAAATGGCGGAAACTGTCATAGCGTGGAAGAGGAGGATGTGGAGGATGAGTAAGAGGAGGAGGAGGAGGAGGAGGAGGAGGAGGAGGAGGAGGAGGAGTAGCAAGCAAGCACGAGCAGCAGTGCTCGTAAATGAAATGAAACGTACGAATGCGATAATATTTTATTAACGTCCTGGCATACATCATACTCAACCACGTACTCGCGTATTTGACGGACAAGGGGAAATGAAAAAGAAAAAAAGAGAAGAGAGGGGGATTGAAAAGAAAAAGAAAAAAAGTAAAAGAAAAAATAGACGACAGGATACAAATAATAATAATAATAATGATAATAATAAAAAGTATACCCAAGGGAATAAACGAAAACGGGGAGAAATAAAAACAAAACAAAATAAAAATATTCAACGATTGATTGGGGGTGTAGAGAAAACAGGCAAGGGGGGGTTGGTTTCAAGTGTGTAATCCATTTGTTGTTGTTCTCGTTTATCTCGCAACCCTTTTCTTTTTTTTTGCTGCTGTTGCTGTTGTTGTTGTTGTTGCACTCTTGCTTGCACTTTAGTTTGCTCTCTTGGATAGATACGCAGGTAGAGTATCCCCCCCACCCAACCCCTCGTTGATGATGAACGAAAGCATTCAGTTGTGAGAACGCGTGAATCCGATCGGATTGACGTCGTTGATTTCGTGGAACATAGTCGTTTTGGCATATAGGGGCACGTCGAACCACTGATACCTCTTCGTTTGGCTCTCGTCCAGGTCGTACTCCAAACACCGTCTAGGAAATCTGCCAAGGGTCGTTAGCACGTCGTCCTTTAAACTCAAAACTCTCTTTTTCTTTTCAAACAATCAGTGAAATTCCGCGCGGCATACCACCATCAGTGTCTTTGAAAGGATATAACCCTCCCTTCCCACTTCTTTTAAATTTCGCGGCTTATCGAAACATTATCGAAAAAACATATGCCCCCCCCCCTTCTGACGTAAAAGGTACGTTCTATTATCCTACTACAAAGGATTCGGAGTACTTCTCTCGAATATTTTTTCACGATGTTCTTTTTTTTTTTGGCAAAGAACTCTTATTCCCCACTCTTTTAAATTTTTCTTATTAAGAATTATCATTCTACTTGTGTCGGTAGTGAATTTGTATTACCAGCCAAGAAAAATGTTCAACGTTAAAAGTCCTATTATACGTGTAATAGAACCCTTTCTTCCGAGCATTTTCTCTGCCGGTTTTGTGATGCTTATTGTGAAAACTAAAATGGCGCCTAGGGAGAACTCGTGGAAAGCCGCGCGGATAAGTGAGGTTATGTTAGCGCGTGTGTGTACGTTATTCGTTTATAGATAATTACGAGTTACATTTAATGTTCTCAGGTATATTTTCATTTTGTTTTATATTCTAAATTACTTATAATAATATAAATGGTGTCTTCTAGGTAGTAGATTTATATATGTGTATATATATTTCTTTTTACAAAATCGACGCCATTTTAATGCGAATTGTTTTTTCGACTGGAAAATTTGATTTTGAAAATTAGTCGAATAAATTAATGGGAAAAAAACTATAAACTAGAATTGCTAATATTAGTTGTGCAAAAAATGTGCACATACAATCACGGGAGTTTAGATTGTGTTTTGAGAAATAACAATAGTTTCGTAAAAAATCATTAGAAAACCTTAGAACTTGTGAATGGACTTTCTGTATATCTCGAAACATACACACACACACACCCACACCCTTACACAATGATCTGTTAGATAAAAGCGAACTTACTTCGAGTAACGTTTGCAGTTCACAATTGGATAATCCTCGCGGTAACACTTGGTGTCCAAAACATTGAAGTACAGGAACCCGATCTTACCAGCAATTTTGTCACCCGAACGCTGGAGGCAGTCATAGAACTTCTCGTCGCAGGAACAATGCAACCTTACGCCACCGTCATTGTAGTTCATTGGTCACCGGAAGAACACGGTGAAGGGTTAAATTATTGAATATCGATAAAGAGAAACTTGAATTACGGGTCTTGCGCGATAGTAACAAGTAAACAGATCCTAAAAGATTCATTCTCGTCACGCGAGTTACGAATTTTTTTTTGTTCACTTTTTCTGAGACTATTACAAAAAAAAATAAAAGAAAAATATCATTATCCATCGATAACAGTGTCAATTTACGAAGGTATTAATCAAATTTCATAATACAATGGTCATTTAATAATAATTAATCCTTTATATTTCAAAGACCACAGTTGTTGTTATTCAAGTATCGATTGATTACTACCTACAGTTATAATCAAATTTGCTTGGATTGCAAAGGTTTGATGAAACAATTTAATCATCTTTTTTAATCGGATTTAATCGGTAAAACCTTACCTTTTTTTTTTTGTTTTTTTTTTTAATTCCAACGTATAAACACGGTATTTTCCATTTGGGAAATATTTTCAAATCGATACGGAAATTAAACGGTAGGACGATATCCAATAATATTCTATACCGTAAATTTATTTGATTTATACGCTCGATAAAATATGTATTAGATATTTGGTAAATGATCGGTAATTGAAAATGCTAATGGTAAACAAGTATAATTAGAAAATCAATGTTGATTACGTTTAATGTAGAAGCAAGTGCTAACTAATCAGGATCTAGTGGCCAATAATTTCTACCTTCTCTTCCCATGTTTAACGGGGATTCGAATAGGTCAGCGTTGGGGAAGGGTGGGGGAGGGGGAATGGTGTTTCAATAACGAAACAATAAAAAGAGACAAAAAGAAATGAAACAAGAAATGAAAAAAGATTAATCCTTCGTTCATGACACTAGAATCAAACCAGTTAGTCCGATCGCTATGCCTGAGTTTCATGCGATTCATTTATTCCAGTTCGTTGGAGTAAACTAATAAAGGATGCAACCTATACGACACGTACAGGGTACGTATACACGTGTAATGATGACACGAGCAGTAGAATATGGAAGCAATAAAAGTAACGTCGTTCGATAATCCCACCTGATGTGTAGGTGACAGGCGAACTATAGCACGCGATACCCCATGTTCACATGGGTCAGACTCGTTAATCAATCATATTATTTGATTTTTATCAACTTTCAATGAAGAATATTTCATCGTCAAGAGGTAATCTTATGATTTACGAGATTCACCAACGGATCGATAGAATGATACCATTGTCTTGTTCTATCATTTAGGTTAACTCGTAACAAAAATTTATCAAACATTGAGCTATCACTATTTTGAAGATTATTTTTTCATTTCAATAGGATTTACTCATAAGGAGACCTTACGGTTGTGCTCTGACGGATTTTAACGAGCTTTGGTATATTAGTAGTATACTTTTAGAGTGTTAACGTGGTAAAGTATTTTATCAAAATGCGAAACCAATTTTGAAAAAAATGCTTTTAAAGTTTGGAATCAATTTGATGCGCTAGCGTAAGTAGTAGCGTACTCGCTTTTCGTGCTGCTAGTTATTGGTTCGATCCTTCTTTGGGGAAGTTTTTTTTAACAATTTGTTTTTATTTGGTTTTTTCATAATTCTCATAATAATTTCATAATAATAGAAAAAATTGAAAACTTTAAAAGCATTTTTCTCAAAATTGGTTTCGCATTTTGATAAAATACTTTACCACGTTAACATTCTAAAGGTGTACTACTAATATACCAAAGCTCGTTAAAATCCGTGATGGCAGAACCGTAAGGTCTTCTTGTCAGAGAAAAATGACTATCGGATTAAATGAAAATCACATTTCAAATCTGTTACAATAATAATTAACATTTTGGGGGAGATATTTGGATAATTAGCAAAGCTATTTGTTATTTATAATTTTACAAATGCACATAAACGGGTAATTGACAGTTTTCTAATAGCTAATCGAATTCCCTTTAACCGTAGTTCCATATGCGAAATATAGTTCGAAATATGAAATAGATAATCAATAAACTTCACGGTTATGTACCTTTACAAATCCAAATACATAGTTAATTGACAGTTTCCGAAGGTACCTAAATTCATCTTAACTGTTCCCGTATGCGAAACATATTGCATCTAAAATACGTTCAATTAGTGCTTCTCTCTCTCTCTCTCTCTCTTCCCCTTTTCTACCATTTTTTCTTTTTTCTAATAAACCATACGGCTCTTCATCCAATCCCATGGACAATAAATAATCTAAGAGGTTTAATTTGAGGGTCTTGGGTAAGGCAATTTATGAGCCCAACATAAGTGGGATTTAGACGGTACGTTTAGGTATACGAAATAAATGAATCAACCGGCCACCCACGTTCCTATCTTTTTTTTCAAACGATCATTATAAAAAGAATAGAAGAAGAAGAAGAAGAAGAAGAAAAAAATAAAATCCTAACCTCAAAAATGAAACAAATTTTGAAAAGATACTTGAAAATCTGATAGCTTTGATTGGTCAGAAATAATATAACCAATGAAATGATTGAAAAAAGTAAGGTTATTTTATCACCTCGTATAAAAGGAAGGATTTGTCAGATTATATTTTGTCGTCATAGCTTCTATAATATCGTCACAATAATCATGTTCACGACAGCAAGCATCGGTTTCAGCGAATTTGCCAAGATCGTCATAATCCTCAGCAATGTTTCCACTTCCGCACCATTTTGTTCCTAAATATAACGAATAGATCAAATAAAAAGGAATCAAAGATAATAAGTGAAAAGTATTTTAAAACAAAAATAATAACATAAAATAAAATATAAATCAAATTAAAAATTTTTAAATCATTCGTAGGAGTAATCTCACCTGGAAAGATGAAATTCAACGGACGACGCGTATTTTCACGTAATTCGTTTCTATCGTCAAGCACAAAATCAGGAATACTTATTTCTATGACCCAACCGTGTATTAAAATAAAATTAAATATGGCAAGGAAAATAATTGATTCGTAGATACGTAACAACATCCTAACTTTTATAATTGAACGAAATTGTTATTAATTGTTTAACTGTAAAAATACAATTTTTAATATATATATATATATATATGTTGACTATAATAAGGATTGAAGTGTACTAAAAAAAATATTACAATTTGTAGACTTTATATATGCATTGTAGAACACTACATACATATAATCAGTTGTTCTTTTTTTATGATTAGTACGACCCATTTTTTTCAAAGATCTAATCATAAGAATTGCACGTATGTCCTACGAAATAGACGACCGCTGTGTTTTAAAGCAGATAACATCCTTCCTTCCTTCCTTACTTCCTTCCTTTGCATCCAGTTAAAGATAGTCAAGAGATATGAGGGCATGAGAGTGTATCTCTCAAAACTCCCCTAACCCCACCACCCCACATCACCCCCCGTCGTCTTTTCGTCCTTTTTCGTTATAGTTCGCGACCCCTTGGGTAAAATCAACGATGTGGTAAGTAGACGTTAGTTGGAATGGGTCACGAAGCAATCCGTTGAATTTACTAACCATCTTCATGTTTCTATCTATGTATATGTGTTTATGTAAGTACATATATTCTACGTATGTATGATATATAGATATGTGTGTGTGTTAGTGTGGGTCGACAAAAATCGATAAGCATTCCCCTCCTTTCTTCTTTTTCTTCCTTTCTTTATCTTTTATAGACAGTATACACATATACAAACGCATATATATATGTACGTACACATATTTAGATGGGGATATAGTCTTGATTATTTTTAAATATATTTTTATTTTCTATAATTGGTACACGCGAACTTTTGTTTTTATTAAATATACGTTTTTATTGACTCAAGTATGTTTAATAATTGAAAAGAATTTGAATGTTTAGATACTTGGTTTATTAACACTTTCTGTTAACTGATTATTAATTGTAAGTTTTATATATATATATATACGTGAAACAATTGAGTAAAATTGTTATATTCAAATTTCCGAAATATCTGTTAATAAGCAACGAAGTAAGGGTTACTTACTTCCTTACTTACCCCACTTTACTTCTTGTTAGTTCGATGTTATTTAAGTTTTGGGTATTATTAGTTGAGGTATATATTAAAAACTATTTTGGTTTTGGCTTATAGAGTGAAACACCCTAAATTAATCTTGAATACCTTAGTCTGGATTCTTGGATGAATAATATTCGAATAAATATTTGTTCAACCAATTCTACGAGCTTATCATTCTCCAAATTCTACAATCGTTACTATCTCCTATTATTATTATTATTTAATGAATTTTTGTATCAATTAGATGAGAGTAACATTGTTCATATTTGATCAATTATATTAATTGTAACAATTTTCTTATTCAAAAATCTTTACTTTAATCCTGTGTTATAATTGTTAAATTATTCAACTTTCAAATAATAATCTAATAGCAAATAAATATATATTTTATATTATTAGATAAATATATTATAATTTTTAATTGAGCAAATTTATTCAACTTTTAAATAGTAATCTAATAGCAAATAAATATATATTTTATATTATTAGATAAATATATTATAATTTTTAATTGAGAAATTTTATTGAAAACAAATCTATTTAATTTTTGCATCTTTCACACGTTAGTTAGAATAACAAATTAATCGTTTAATTGTTGTCCGTAAAAACAAAAAAAAAAGGTTACATTTTCTTTGATCATATTTATTAAGTATTAATTATTACACACACACAAAATTAATACTAATCGTGAGATCTTGTTAGTTGAAATTAACGATACGATATTTAACAAAGATACTAAGATACATTTATCTGATATGAGTTACTCGTATGTCGAAATATACATGTAGATCTATATATATATATGCATATATATATATATATGTAACATAATATATACATACACATATTATAACATATATGTAATAGAAATTCTAGCTCGTTTCTAACGTATCTAGTAAACGCGCTTATGCCAGTAAAATACGCGCTTGAGAGAATTTTCATGCTCGTTTCTCCTTCGATATTACAATAAATTATCTTACTAATTGGACGCAAGTGAGGAAATATATATATCCCTAAGATCTCTTACGGAACGTTATGAGAAATCGGTTAGATTAGTTTGAAACTACTACTGTTCGAGTGAGAACACCATCCGGTCTCGTATCCCTCCCCCCTTCCTTACCCCACCTCTACATCTTTAAATATTACAAATTAGAATTACGTTTTATCTTTTAAAAAAATAAGGATATTTTAAAATAATATCCTTTCTAATTTCCTAACACAAGTGTTATTTTCCAATAATTTATTATCACGACTCGTTGCTTTTTTCTTTCTGTTTTTCTCTTTTTCTTTTTTTTTTTTCTTTTTAAATCCATTTTGTATAAAAGTTTATTACGTTTATTTTGATTATTACAGAAAGAAAATTGTGAACAGTGATATATATATATAAATATAAAAATACTTTTATTACATTGGCTTTTTTATTTTTATATATATATAGGGGGGGGGGGGGTGGTAGGTAGTGGGTGAAAAGGGGGTTGTAAAAGGTATAGTGAGTAGAAGGGGGACAGAAAGAGAGAGAGGGGGGGGGGAAGGGAGAACGGAAATAACTGAGTATTGATCGGACGGAGAGGATTCAATGTCGTTTTTAAGGTTTTAAATTGGAATAACACGATAATCTCTGATTTATTTTATTTCGAGAAAGAGAAAGATAATACGAGAAGTAAAATAAACCTGTTTGGATAATTTTAAAAAA